TTATGATAAACACCACCTATGTGACATATCTACAAAGTTTCAATGCCAGCCCACCGACAGAGAAACCCATCAACACGCTGCAGGATATCCTGCATCATCGTAAGAAAATTCTAATGTACGAAGATGAATACAAAACAATGTATGAAATATTCATTCAATCTGAAATATATCCAAAAATCATAAAATACGATGAACATCAGAATTTTTTCACCAAACGAAAATTTCGTCTATCGGATATCTGTTTCTTTAGAATGTTGCCACACATGATACCAATGCAGGCCAATTCAATATTCGAAGAAGCCATCAATGAAATGATTGGCATCACAACTCAAGCTGGTCTTACAAACCACTAGAAGAAATTAGCATTTTTGGAAGCCATACAAAGAAAACGTTTAAATCTAACGGATACTAGTCACAAGGACACGTTTGAACCAATGCAATTGGAAGATACAAAGTGGTTTATGTGCTTGTACGCAATAATGCTTGGCATTGCATCTATAAGTTTTATATTTGAATTGATCTGGTATGGACTTAGTATAAAACCATTAATTATAATTAAATAGCTAAAATACTGTAATGTTGTTAAAATATAAAGAAGTAAACAAATATTATTTTACAGTACTTTTTTGATATCAAAAGACGAATACGGTTATAACCCTTATGATACAGAATATATGGTGGCATCGCGTGGACCATAATCGAGCAGTTTTTTCCAAATTATAAAATGTAGCCAAAGCCAAAATCAGGCGGAACACTTATTAGGGGCGTATCCGAAAACGTGAATGGTATATTGTTAAAAATTTTCAAAATACCTCAAATAGAGTAGTGCCGATGCACTGGGTCTATACGAAAACATGGCCCCTAATTGACGTTTTTATGCAAAGTTGAGATCCCAAATGTCAGATTTTAGCTAATTCCGTTGGATAATGTGACCAAAACCTTCATAATGTGCAAATACATATTTTTTACTTAACTTCAACTAATGGGTCTCACTTTAGTTAATCACCTCGAAAAAGAAAACCCTCCACAATTTGTAAAGTAACTCATGTAAATATACAGGGTGAGATGAAAAAACTACAACCAATTTCAGCCTGCTGTCATTTCTAAGCTGTCGTCCAACAGCGTACCAAAGCATTTTGGTTTGAATTTTCCAGAAAAAAGTATTCGTTATGGAATTCGAGCGTGATAGTGTGATTTCTTTATACTTGGCTGGAAAACCACAAGTGGCTGTCATTAGAGCACTACAGTACTTGAATGAGAATAAACGACTTGATCAAAACCCGCGTCATATTGGCCGAAAAATGGCTCGTGAGCTGAACATATTGCAATTTTATATTCGGCAAATATTGAAAAATGACCTTGGGGTAAAGCCATTGAAATTCCAAAAAGTACAAGAACTTATACCGCAACAGTAAGAAAATAGACTCAAAAAAGCTTAAGAGTTGCTTCGCTTGGCCGAAAGTGGTGAACTGCCGAATACGGTTTTTTCCGATGAGAAAACATACGTTGTCCAGCAATTTGTAAACAAACAAAATTATCGTGTTTACTTGCCAGCTGAAAATGTTCATCTTTGGTTGGCCACAAGAACTCAAACGCCGGCCATGGTGATTGTGTGCGCCGCCATAACAACCGATGGTCGCTCTCAGGTCGTATTAATAGACCATGGCATCAAAATAAATGCCGAATATTCTTGCGAAAATATTCTGGAGGTTGCATTAAAGCCTTGGGCACGCAAACATTTTGGCCGCAGACCTTGGGCATTCCAACAGGATTCAGCACTATCGCACTCAGCAAGCGCCACCAAGAATGGTTACAAAATGGGGTTCCTCGCTTCATTTCCACCTCGTACAATGGCCACCAAAATCTACGGATACGGATATGGAAAGCAAAGTTGGCATCAAAAAATACCAAAGAGTCGACCACCTCAAGCAAGCGCTTCGCCGAAAATGGGCCAAAATACCGCATAGCAACATTCGAGCAGCATATGACGGTTTCATTGGCCGCTTGAAGGCCATAATTTGTGCCAATTTGAACAAATCTAAACTTATTCTAAAATTTGATACTATTTCCGACATTTTTTGGTTTCATTCAATAAAATTAAAAAAAGTAAAAATTATGGCGTTAGTTGTTGCAGTTTTTTATCTCACCCTGTATATGGGACCATAGCTATATCAGAACGGATTTTCGAAAAATTGTACATATTTCCTTCCAGGCTAAATTCGCTTGTATGTGCCAAAATCCATAAAATTCTGACTTACATTAACCATCGGGTAAAGATGTATATGGGAGTTATAAACAAATCTGAACCGATATCGATAAAACTTTGTAAATGCAATAAATAATGCAAAAAATAAGAAATCGGATTAAATATATCTATGGGAGCTATAGTTATATCTGATCCGATTTTCATCAAGGTTGACGTACTTGTTAGTAGGTTAAATTTAGTCATATGTACCAAATTCAAATTTCGTATTTGCACTTCGAAACGAAAGAAAGATAGTCGGTAGTTTGTATGATTTTTCCCACATTTTTTCATGGATTTGTCCAAAAGTTGCTATTTGTGGCTCATAATGGGTTCTAGCTCTGATGTATGTATAGGTCCACGTTTTTGGATAGCCCCCATATAACGGTACCTGCCGATATTCGATATCTTGATAAAAATTGATATTTTAGTTCCACGTTTTAAATAACGCACAGATTACGATTCCCGCCGATATTCGGTATTTTGATAATCCTAGTCACATTTACCCACATAATTGTTTCAAATTTGGTATTTCCTTGAATCCTTGAAGTATAAAATTGTCTATAGAGGCTCTCGTTTTGGTATGGCCCCATATAACGGCCTCGCGCACTTGATGGTTTTTTGATAAGCTTAACTGCATTATGCAAAAGGTCTTACTGGTATATGAAGTTTAGAGTAAAACATGCTTGAATTCAGATGCTTTTATATAAAAATGTTTCCTTTACCCTAATCCTTACTCAAATATGTGTTTCGTCTGCAGAACTGAAAATAGGCTGGGTAGGTCCACGTTTAATTATAGCCCCCCTATAACTGTACCTCTCTGTATTCGGTGTTTTGATGATTTAAGTCCTTCGAAATTGGTACCACTTGCCTAAGCGAGTCCATGGGTTCGTATGGACCCCAAAAAAAGGTAACTCTCCAAGTCGGTATTTTAAAGATTTCAGCAGCATTTTTAACGGATTCTTTTTTATACCCTTGATGATTTTAGCGACATTATTTACCGGAATTGTTTCAAAATTGGTATTTAAAGTTCGTAATGGATACTACAGCCTCAGACGGGAAATGGGCCACGCAGATCCACGTCTTCGTATAGCCCCCATATAACAGTACCCCCCGATATTCGGTATTATGATGATTTTAGCGACATTATTTGCCGGAATTGTTTCAAAATTGGTATTTAAAGTTCGTAATGGATACTACAGCCTCAGACGGGAAATGGGCCACGCAGATCCACGTCTTCGTATAGCCCCCATATAACTGTACCCCCCGATATTCGGTATTTTGATGATTGTAGCGACATTATTTACGGGAATGGTTTCAAATTTGGTATTTGAAGTTCGTAATGGATACTACAGCCTATGCCAGAAAATTGTCTGTGCAGGTCCACGTTTTATAACCCCTATGGTACCTTTTTTTCAATTTTAGCATTTAAATATTATAATGCTTATGTCAAAAGTTGCCTATACAGGTCCACGTCGTCATATAGACCCTAATTTATGGCTACATTCGGTATTTTTAAGATTTTAACATAATTCTTAATGGATTTTATTTTTTTGAAAATTGCCAAATTTGTACCAAATGATATTCAAAGTTCGTCTCGGCCGAACTTACAACTTTTACTTGTTTTTATATAAATATATATTTTTTTGAATAATTTTAAATTCGAAAAGGGAATTTAAAAGAACATTCTGCTTTTTAATTTGTTTTGTTCGAAATTGTTCGAATATTTCATCATAATTTCACGAAAAATATTCTAAAATTACACAATCAATATTAATATATGTCTTCTGTAATATTCGTTTTTATTTTAGGGTATTTTATAATCTTCATCGCATCCGAAATATATTAATATTCGCCCTCAATTGTGAAAAATTATTTAAAAAAAGTAAGCAAAGGCTATTGTCATGCGGGGCCGACTATGTTATACCCCACAACACTAAAATATGTTAGAAGCCCCCTTATGTCCAAATCCAAATTGGAAGATTTCGCTTTTGAAATTAGGATTTTGACAAGGGACGTTTGCCCAATATTTCTGCATTCCGTCGGGCTGTTAGTTGTTGTAGTCCATTTTACAGCTAAATATAATCCAATGGTCATCGGAAATGCTAGAATTCTTCACTGTCCTCAACTCTCTTCACGGGCGTGACGATAGGCTTCAATTGTGTGATCGGAAGAACATTTCTGTTTTTGGTTAATTTGAACCCCCAAATATTTTGCGATCATCTCCAAAAGCAAGAGGCCCCTCTGAATCCCCAGATTAAGACCCATCTATATGATTTGCTTGTCTGTGATATTGGGCGATATTCGTCAACGAAATCAGCATAAAAAATCCAGAAGTTCGCCTTTTGTGTATTTCGGATATCGCCTGTACATAATGCTGGTATTTTTTCACACAAAATTAGTGGTCCATTGTACCCGCTGTCCTAAACTCTAACTTTATGCGAGATTTCGTGTCCTTTGGTTTCTATTTATGATCTTTATAACGGCTGCAAAATCAGGAAAATTTTTAGTTCTTGGTCCATTTCAACCCCTATTATATTGCAGACATCTTTGAAAACAATAGGCCTAGCCCTTCTGAGCCCAACCCTACCCTTGTGAAAATTTTCGATATTTGCAATATTTCGTGGTGTTACATAATTTTTGGCCCAATCAAACTTATAATACCCCCAACACATAGTGTTGTAGGGTATAAATATCTTTATTTTGAGTATGGAAAATTTTATTTACAAATTATGGTACTGTAAAAATTATAATTTTGTTAAATTTTAATTATGATTACGGATTTATTGCTAAGTTTGTAGAAAACTATCTCGCACATAAAACACAAAAATGCTACTGAATTCAATATAAGATATAGCAGCATAAACCATTTAGTATCTTGCAATTCCATGGGTTCAAACCGAACCTTACTACTGGAGTCGGTCAAATTGATGCGTTTCCTTTGAACGGCCTCCATAAAGGCCATTTGTTTCCAATGATTGGTGAGGCCGGCTTGATGGGCTATGCCAATCATTTCATTGACCGCTTCCTCAAACGGAGAATCCGCTTGCATTGGTACCATTTGTCCGTACATCTTTACCAAGCATATATTGGATAGACGAAATTTACGCTTGGCAAAGAACTCCTGCTGTTGTTCATAGAGAGACCACTGTACCTCTGGAACTGGATATAAATAACGGGTATCATAGCTATCGCGCAGCGTATAAAATTCCAAAAATGTTGGAACAACTTCAATGATTTTTACAAACAAATCATAATCGTTGATGATTTCATTGTTCATTTTACTGAATTCATCTTCGTACATTAGAATTTTCTTGGGATTTGCAAGGGCATCTTCCAAGGTGTTGATGGGTCTCTCTGTCGGTGGACTGGCATTGAAACTTTGTAGATATGTGACATAGGTGGTGTTAACTATGACACCACCAAAACAGGTCAACACATAGAGAACACTACGCCAGCCGGAATAATTTGCCTCCATTTGATAGGGTTGCCCCAGCATACCATTGAACGTGTAAATATTGAACAGGATATTCCAAGGATTGGTGGTCTTACCCTCGAACCAAAAAGTTAGATCTATGGCAAATGTCAAAACGAAAATTGTCACCAGAATGAGAGTTAATATTTTGAGATCAAAAATCATGCCATAAAACATATAATACGGTATTGGACTGGCGGTGGGTACCATAATACACCAATCCGTTAGGCTATAGCAGTCGCTGTGAACACGATCACTTTTATAGTTATTCAATGCAAGTTGCTGCGACATGTCCAGGGTGTCATTGTCGAGGAATGCATCAAACACAAAGGCATCATGATAACCGGTAGGAAATGTTATTGTTGCATTATGAAATCTCGCAAATTCATCGAAGAAATGACCCACATGGCCACCTAGGGAATAGATTCCATTAACCTCCTTTAAAATATAGGACTTGTTGCTGCCTTTCTTTAGACTTAGGCGTAAGGGAGATTTATGCATATTTCTAACATGATTTGGATAGAATCTGAAGTTTGAGGACCCACTCATGTTGTGGCTTCTCAACACAAAAGAGGGGAAAAGGTTTGGAACATAGCAGAGATCCAGTGAGGCAACATCTTCCTTTATTGCCATAACATTAATTGCCTTGTGGTTAGAGCAAAACCTTATGATATCTTCCATATATTCCTCATCTGTTGCGGCCTTAAAAATTAAAAGCAACCTCGTCTTTAGAAGTTTTCTTAGATTCCTCCACAGTGACTCTAGTAGTAACTTATCCTTACGCTCATCGCCATTCATTGGCACCACAGCCAGCAATTCTCGATTGAATTTTGACCAAAGATAAAAGGATGTATTTCCTTTCAGTTGTATCATGGGAGTTTCCATCAGCCTTGCCACCTCATCAATATTGTAGCCCTCCTCAGGCACCCCATCTACCGAACTCATATAGATTATTGTTCGATAATTACGCTCCTTTCGCACCTTGCTCAACATATTCACAATTTTTACATTTAATTCATACGAATTTGAGGATATTTGCAGTAATCCCAACAATGTTGTCACATTTATTAAAATTACCATTTGAATCCCGTCGTTTAATTAGCCTGCTAGCACTTTTCAATATTGTATTAGACTAACAATTGCAGTGGCGGAATTGTGATCGGGGAATAGCTGTCAATATAATGGTAAATAATTTCAGCAAAAATGTATTATATATTATTATTTGATGAAAATTGAATAATAGCAAATACCTTGTATGAAATGGGAACTGCAAAGGACACGTATGAAATTTTAAAATTTAATTTGTTATTATCACGCTAGGTGCCATAAAGAGCACATAGTGTGTTTGTCCAGAAAACTGCATAATATTTGAATTCTTTGACCGAAAGCGTTAATATAACGTTTAAATTTTACACCAAAAAACAAACACACCTTTAATTTTTAAACATTGCAAGACTCCAAATAAATTTCATTATTTCAGAGCCATTTACCCGTCTTCCTACAGGGAAGCGACATTTTTGCCTCCCAAAGAAGGGCCCATGTATGCCACCATTCACTTCAAATATGCCTGATGAGCCGCTTCATTAACTGTGTGTGATAGTGTCTCTCTGGCTTTCCTTTTCACTGCAAATTTAAGATTATTAATCTCGTCATTAAGCACCAGATACCATTATTGAAGGCTATATCTTAATACGGACAAAGTATACAGGGTGGGATGAGGAAACTGCAACCAATTTCAGACTGCTGTCATTTCTAAGCCACTCATCCGACATCAATTAAAAGTATACAATTATATTGTTTACAAGCGCAAGAACTTACACCGCAACAGAAGGAAAATAGACTCAAAAGAGCTAAAAAGTAGTTTCGCTTGGGCGAAAGTGGCAAACTGCCGAATTTGGTTTTCTCTGATGAGAAAACATTCGTTGTCCAGTAGTTTGTACACAAACAAAATGATCCACTCGTGTTTACTAGCCAAAGAGGTCAGCTGAAAATGTGCACCTTCGGTGGACCACCAGAACTAAAGCGCCGGGCCGCCATAACAACCGACGGTCGCTTTTCGCTCGTATTAATCGCCCGTAGCATCAGAATAAATGCCAAATATGATCGCGAAAATACTCTGGAGCGTGTAAGAAAATCTTGGAAATGCAAGTATTTTGGCCGCTGACCTTGGACATTCCAACAGGACTCAGCACCATCGCACTCAGCACGCGCCACCCAGTGCACAATGGCCACCAAAATCTCCGGATACCAATTTGTTGGAATATGTGTCTGGAGCATTATGAAAAGCAAGGTTGGCACAAAAAATACCGAGTATTGCGCTAGAGTTGTGAATGATTTCGCTGCTCGGGTTACAATCGGGTACTATGGTGATTGGCGTCCGGCTTGCAGGTGTCCGGTCGTGAAAACTATGGTACGACTATGACTATCTATATGTGACTACTCTAGATTCCGGTTGAGACCACGAATTTCGAAATTTTGCTAAAACAAGCAAGCCCGAAACTCCAACTGGCTCAGCGTGCACGAAGCTCAGATAAAGATACGTATTTTTTAAAAAATCATAACAAATCTCCTCTGACTAAGACCAGAAAATGCTATGAAAATTTGTAAAATCGAGAGAAATTACCAACTGTTTCGCAGAAAGAGGGAAATTTAAAAACAAATCGTATTTTAGCATTCCACTGGTTTCTTTGGAAATATGTTCATCTTTTACAAACTGGCTTCAACATAAAACAAACAAAAACTAAGACGAAAATATTTGAAAAGCAAAACAAAAAAAAAAAAAAAAACAATAAAAACGAATCAAGGAGAAGAACAGACCTGATTTACGTGCATATATACAGGGTAAGATAAAAAAAAACTGCAACAAAGTCAAATGGCATAATTTAAACATTTTTTTTTTTTAATTTTATTGAATAAAATAAAAAAATGTCGGAAAAAGCATCAAATTTTAGAATAAGTTTAGATTTGTTCGAATTGGTCACCAGTTGGAACGAAATATGGCCTTCAAACCTTGCTCTGAGGTATTTTAACCCATTCCCGGGGAAGCGCTTGCTTGGGGTGATCGACACTTTGGTATTTTTTAGTGCCAACCTTGCTTTCCAAAATACTCTAGACACAATAGTCCAACGGATTAATATCCGGAGTTTTTAGTGGCCATTGTGCGCTGGAAATTAAGTGGGTAGAGCGTGCTGAGTCCGATGTTGTTTAGTCCAGTTGGAATGTCCAAGGTCTGCGGCCAAAATGTTTGCGCGATAATACTCCGCATTTATTCTGATGCCACGGTCGTTTAATTCGAGCGGAGAGCGACAATCGACTGTTATGGCGGCCCACACCATCATCATGGCCGGCGCTTGAGTTCTGTTGGGCAACAGAAGGTGCACATTTTCAGCTGACCTCTTTGGCAAGTAAACACGAGTGGATCATTTTGTTTGTATACAAACTGCTGGACAACGAATCTTTTCTCATCGAAGAAAAGCAAATTCGGCATTTTACCACTTTCGGCCAAGCGAAGCAACTCTTTAGCTCTTTTGAGTCCATTTTCTTTCTGTGCGGTGCAAGTTCTTGCACTTTTTGGGATTTCAATGGCTTATTTTTAATATTTACCGAATGGAACATTGCGATATGTTCAGCTCACGAGCCATTTTTCGGCCGCTGCGACGCGGGTTTCGTTCAAGTCGCTTCATTATTTTTCGAATCATTTCTGCTGATGTTGATGTTTTCTTCCGTTCACTTCCTTGACGTCGGGCTACGCTACCAGTATCACGGTAACGAGCGATGGGACGAGACACGAAAGATTTATTCACATGCTCTAACGATAGTCGCTTGTGGTTTTCCAGTCAAATATAAAGAAATCACACTATCACGCTTGAATTCCATCACGAATAAATTTTTTTCTGGAAAATTCTCACCAAAATGCTTTTGTACGCTGGTAAATAATATAATGAGCTGTCACTGGAATAATTTTACCCTGCTGTCGGACGAGTGGCTTAGAAATGACGATAAAATTTGGCAGAGGAACTTTCGAGCAGTATCTGATGTCCTGTCCGGAGATCACACAATCATAGTACACATTTCCGAGTTTTTTTATTTATTTTTTTTAACGATTTGTAGCAAGGTGTGTTTTATGAGCCTTGTTGTAGCATTCGTCAGCAAAACTCCATGATTTGATTGATTTTTTGTCTTAACCTAATTTTTCGCTTGGCTTGTTTTTTTGTAATATTGGGGTATATTTAATATTAAGAAGCTCCAAACACTATTTTCAAACAAAATTTTGCTCAAATATTATCTAACATGAGCCCCATGTAACGACCCTACCAGCATTCTTGCAAAGAATATTCAATGTAGTTCCAGGCCGAGCAATTTCAACTTTAAGCCATATTAAACCCAACCGTTTGCATGATAAATATAAATTAAAATCCCTTTAAAATAGCTTTCTTTTGTTCTACCAACTGGACAAGTTCATTGTCTTTTATTTTTCTGTTTTCAAAATTTATCAGAAATTAGTTAATTGCTTAATTGTGAAGCATTACATTTTATACAATGAACTGTTACATCGCTTCTAATAGTATTTTTGTATAAAATAAACCTTTGGTCTGACAGAGTGTAATAATGTTGCTCTGGACGAATGTGACAACACTGCTCGGATTGTTGGAAATATGGAGAAATTCAAATGAATTTAATTTAAAGATAGTGGAGATTTTAGGAGAAATTTGGAAAGAGAGCTATTATCATACGATAATTTATATCTGTCATGAAGATAGATTACTTTTGGAGAGCTATGATGTGGATCAGGTTGCAAAACGTTTCGGACTACCAATGATACAACTCAAAGGCAACAACACATTTTATGTTTGGCCAAAAATGAATCGAAAAATATTGGCTGTGGTTCCAATGAATGGTGATGAACGGGCAGATAAATCTCTGCTAGATACGCTATGGGTGAGTCTAAGGAGACTAGTGAAAAGCCGATTATTATTACTCCTTCGAGCGGAAGAAGATGAAGAATATGTGGAGGAAATAATAAAATATTGTTGCAGCCATAAAGCTGTCAATGTGGTGGCCATTAGAGACAATATTGCCCAACTACCCGAATATTATTCCCCAAGAATATTTCCCTCATTTGAAATGCGGACTCAACAACTAAATGGATTCTCCAAACTCTATCCAGATCAAGTAAGAAATATGCATAAGGCTCCATTACGTATGAATCTAAAACGGGACAGCAATAAGTCGTATATTTTAAAGGAAGTGAATGGAACCTATTTCCTTGGTGGTCATGTGGGTCATTTATTTGATGAATTTGCCAGATTTCAAAATGCAACAATAACATTTCCCACCGGCTACCTCGACGCCTTTTGGTATGACATGTTTCTTGATAATGAGACTCTTGATATGTCACAGCAACTTGTCCTGAATGACTATTCAAGTGATCGGACTCACAGTAACTGTTATACACTATTAGAATGGTGCATTATGGTGCCAACGGCGAGTCCAATACAGGACTACATGCTATATGCCATGGTATTTGATGTTGGCATATTGTGGTTAATTTTAGTCACAATGATGTTATTGTCCTCTGCCTTGGCCCTCACCTATTGGTTGGAAGGTAAAATTACAAATCTCTGGAATATCTTCTTCAACGTGTACATTTTCAATGGTATGTTGGGTCAGCCCTATCAAATGGAACCTAACTATTTGGGTTGGCGTAGCATTCTCTATGTCCTGACCTGCCTTGGTGGCATCATAATAAACACCACATACGCCTCATATCTGCAAAGCTTCAACGCAAGTCCACCCACAGAAAAACCCATCAATACCCTGCAGGATGTCCTTCAAAGGAATAAGAAAATACTGATGTACGACGATGAATTTAAGAAAATGACAAACGAATTATTCGCCGACTATGATATGTACTTGAAAGTTGTCAAGGTCATACCTACATTTCTGGAATTCTATACATTGCGCGATAGCTTTGATACTCGTTATTTGTACCCCGTGCCGGAGGTTCAATGGGCCCAATACGATGAACAACAGAAATTCTTTGCAAAACGTAAATTTATCCTATCGGACATATGTTTGTTGAAAATGTACGGCCAAATGGTAGCCATGCAGGCGAACTCACCCTTCGAGGATGCAGTCAACGAAATGATTGGCATATCTGCTCAGGCTGGACTTACTAACCATTGGAAGCAATTGGCCTTTTTGGAGGCTGTCCAAAGGAAACGCATAAAATTGACCGACACCAGCAAGAAGACAACCGTAGAGCCAATGAAAGTAGAAGATATTAAATGGTTAATGTTTTTGTATCTCGGCTTAAATTGTATGGCGTTGCTATGTGTGATAGTTGAAATTCTTTGGTATAGATTTTTTGTAAGCATAAATATTGTAAATCGTGTTGAATAAATTTTGAAATGTGTCTTTGATTTATTCCAAAACAAATTGAATTTGAATGCTTCAATTGGGCTTTTCCAATTGCGTAAATGGGTAACCATCAAATGGTGTATTTTGAAATTTTTATACCCTCAGCCAGATGGCTACAGAAGATATATTTCATTTTATACGGATAAAAAGTGCCTCTTCGAAATAACGGTTTTAGACCCTAGGGCCATTTCAGGGCATTTAGAGTCGATCTAAGGTGTCCGTCGGTGCGGCTGGTTCACACGATAACTCTCACTTGTAATATCATTATCACTCCTTCTGATCCTCCCCACAAAACTTCAAAATGTTCTACCGCACAGAACAAAGAAGGATCATCCATTTTTATGCAAAGTTTGCAAATCAGTGCTATGTCAGATGCGAAAATGGATAATATCGGAACACCCTATGAAGTACATCCCCACAAATAGTCAAAATTTGGAATAATTATAGCCTTTATAAAATTTGGAATAGGAGCCCGATTGTATTTAAATTTCGCATGCGCTAATATTTCTGCCTTAACGAGATCTGGTGTGAAAACGGACTATTTCGGACCACTCAAGTTAAATGTATTCCAATATTTTTACTAACACAAGTTTCGCTGCGAAAATTATAGATATTGGGAGATCTCTTCGGGTGTCTTATCCAAAATAGGTTTATTTATTATTATTTTTATACCCTCCACCATAGTATGGAGGGTATATTCTCATTCCGTTTGTAACACCTCGAAATATACATCTTAGATCCCACAAAGTATATTCTTGATCATGATGTCGATTTAGCTAAGTCCTTCCGTCTGTGGAAATCACTGTGGCTTCCGAACGAATTGAAGTAGATTGATAAAATTTTACTCAAATGTATGCTATGTCTGCAGGACTTTTGGTAAGGCCATGTAAGTCCACGTTTTAGTATAGCCCCCATTTAACGGTTCCTCCCGATATTCGATATTTTGATGATTTTAGCGAATTTATTCACCGGAATTGTTTCAAATTTCGTATTAAAAGTTCGTAATGAATACAGAAAATTGTCTGTGCAGGTCCACGACTTCGCAGAGCCCCCATATAACTGTACCTCCCGATATTCGGTATTTTTTATACCCTCTTCCATATATAGTACAGGGTGAAATTAAAAAACTGCAACCAAATTCAGACTGCTGTCATTTCTAAGAGACTCGTCCGACAGCTGTTACAATTATTCCAGTGACAGCTCATTATATTGTTTACAAGCGTACATAACCATTTTGGTGAGAATTATTTCAGAAAAAAAGTTATTCATGAAAAAAAAGTATTCCACTTGACAAATATTGAAAAATGAGCTCGGGGAAAAGCCATTGAAATTCCAGTCGCCCGGATGGTCGCCCTCCGCTGGTATTAGTCGACCGTGGCATCAGAATAAGTGCCGAATATTATCGCGAAAATATTCTAGAGGGTGTGTTAAAACCTTGAGCATTTTGGCCGTAGACCTTGGTTATTCCAAGAGGACTCAGCAGCATCGCACTCAGCACGCGCCACCCAAGAATGGTTACAAAATGCGGCTCCTCGCTTTATTTACAGCGCACAATGGCCACCAAAATCTCTGGATACCAATCCGTTGGACTATTGTGTCTGGAGTATTTTGGAAAGCAAGGTTGGCACTAAAAAATACCAAAGTGTCGATCACCTCAAGCAAGCACTTCGCCGGGAATGGGCCAAAATACCGGAGAGCAACATTCGGGCAGCGTGTGACGCACAGTGGTCCAAGACGCCAATCTAGCTGGAAAAAAGTCATAACTTCTCTTCGGAAGCAGCTAGAAGTATGAAATTTTGGAATTATGTATTTCGTATTGAAAGCATTCTTTGTACCAAAAATGGGCGTTGTAGGTAAAATAGTCGTGGAAATTTTTATGGCATTTGAAAGTATATGAATGTTAATATATACAAAACAACATAAGAATATTAATATATATTTAAAATAATAATCATTTATTTAAATTATTCTACATCTTCCTGTATAAAAGGATCTAAAAGTAATGAAATATCTTCATCACCTAATAGTTCTTCATTTCGAGAGCTAACAAATGGCTTTGCTGAAAAAGATGAGATTAATGGATCTGATGACAGAAGCAAATAATTGAAAAGATCTTCCATTGTTTTTTCTCGTGCCATTTTTCTAGTGTGATGTTCGCGAATAAATCTAAAATCTTTGTTTCGAGACTCTAGTGCTTCCTCCGACATCATTCCTATCGGTAGTGCCGCATTTTGAATTATGTCTGCGCCGTGAATCAAAATTTTGTGGACACTCGATGGCATATAGTACCATTCATACAGTTCTACGTATAGTTCCGCAGTATCCATCGCATATTTTCGGAAAGCTTCCACATTAATTGCATAACCAGATGACATAGTTCTCAAAATTATTCCTAGTCTTTTTATTAAACTTTCATTTACACCTGTTATTTGAGAAGCTAAGGAAGGTTGCTGAAAAAATTTTCTAGCGGTATTGCCGTCATTTGTGCTTCCTTCTCCAGGCTTAGGAATATCAATAAGCAAATTCATTTCTGATTTCAGAGCGCTAATTATTTCTTCTTTTCTTTTCTTCTGTGAATCTTTATCGGACGCACTACGAGCTTGCCATTTTCTAATTTTAATTTTGTAAGATATATGCAATACACATTCCAGGCATCTTATCCACGCATGCAATGTCGATAACCCATATTCGTAAAGATTGGCCCTTACATTTAAGGCTTTAATTTCGTGCAGTTTGTTCATAATGGTTGGCGTTGCTCCACAAATACCACATCTTTGAGTAGAGGAATCGCTAAGAATTGAGAAAACCTTGCCATCAATCATTGTTAAATAAAACACATGTTTAACAATAACCGTTTTATCTTCAATGTTAGAAGCTGTTGACACTATTGCATCAATTTGATTTTGAATGTAATTAGTTTCATCTTGAATCAACGATTTTGTTTCCTTTTCAAAAATCAGTTTAATTGGCCTGCAAAAACGTGTAGATGATGGACGTGGGTTTTCCCATATGATATGGTTATCGTACTTTAGCTGCAAAGGTACCAAGCAAATTGCAAACAAATATTCATCTGTCTTACGGGAATCATTTGAACTAAAGTTTTGCTTATAGGTTGAGTGTCCACTGCTACCATCACATCCCCATTTATACGTCAAAGTCAATTCCGTATAATTGAATTCCTCTATGACCTCTTTTTGTAACTTTAAAATTCTACATGCAGTGTGATCCACTAAGTCCTGCAGAGGCACTTCTGCTGTTACATCGGATACCTTTATTCCATTACTTGGGTAGCACTTTTCTTTAGCTTCTAAAATTCTATGATATGATGGGTATATATCCGCGTTACGGATCTTAGCACCAGCACGCATCGCATTATAACTTGCTTTTGTATATTTTACATCGATAAACAGTCGTAATGCTTCGTCATCTGTATATGGTACTGGTTCCTTAGATTGTGCATTAACAATTTTTTTAATTTTAGTTGCTCTCGTTGGAGATTCATTTATGTTCTTTAGAATCGCGGCAGCATTCCTCTTGCCAGACTTATAAAGACTAACGCCAGCAGCGAAAACTAGTTTCTCAGGTGAACATTCACTAACTAAAGTTGACACTTCCAAACGCTTCCCTTTTTCAGATTTACCTGAAAAATCAGATCGAGGTCTACCAAAATTTGACGTTGACGGTTGGATCCCTAAATCCTCTGGAATTTTAATCACGTTTTCAGAAGGAAGACAAAATACTCCATTTAACCAAATTTTATTAGAGTCTTCAAAATATTTCTTTGATCTTTTTGCTTTTATCCACCTTTCGTTAATTGAATACGTTAATCTCCGTACAGCTAACTCAACTTTATTGCAATAATCTTCTGTTTTAGTTTTCTGTAAACCACTCTTAGCAAAAAAATAACTAATGACAGCTTTTGCCCTTTCTTTGCTTTCCATTTCGGCAATCCACACATTATATAGTTCTCTCCGTGTTATGGGTATGTTATCTATATATGTATATAAAAAGTTTACCGGTCAATAATTGCAGCTATTTCTTTTTTTCATCTAAAGTGGACACCACACAGATCAACAGGACACAATTCATTTCACGGGAATCCACGGGAATCCTATTTAAAAGTTACTCTAAAAACCATAAACTGCTAAATTTTGCTACACAAAACACATATTTCCTCTTACCAATTATTTTGCACACAGAACATTTAAATTCGACATTTATCTACAATATAGCTTAAACATACCTGACATGATGCAATGTAAAAAAAATTACGACAAAATTTTTTCTTCTTTGATGTTACGAACAGTTCAAATGTGATGCTGGCAATCGACAGGCCTGCTAAAACAACAGTGATAATACAATAGTTCATTTCCAAAACATCATAACAAAGCAAATTAGAAAAAAAACAAAAAAACTGATATACAGTTATGAACAGTGGACTGTTATCTAATGATTACCAAACAAATTATGTGAACATTGAAACATAAAAAAATTGAGTTTTTTCCAGCTAGATTGGCATCTTGGACCACTGTGTGACGGTTTCATTGGCCATTTGAAGACCATAATTCGGCCTAAAGTGCCAATTCCAACAAATCTAAACTTTTTCTAAATGTTGATGCTATTTCCGAAATTTTTTGCTTTAATTCAATAAAATTTAAAAAAAGAACTGAAAAAAATATGGCGGTTGACTTTGTTTCACTTTTTTTTTATCTCACCCTGTATAATAAGTTGTTCATTCCGTTTGTAGTTTCTCGAAATAGTAATTTTTGAACCCACAAGTTGTGTATATTCTTGATCAGCGTAAAATTTTATATCAATGTAGTCATATTTGTCCGTCTCTAGAAATCACTCAAGCTTCCGAGTTTATTCAAATTCAGTTGAAATTCATTTTAGGCCCGTAGAATTTAGTGGTATTTAAAATGGGACATTTCTGTCCGCATTTTAAGAACTTTAGCAAAAGAACTGTCCATATGGATTCAAGT